GAGAAGGTCTTTGATGAGGAGGTCTTTGAATTAGGGAGGTCTTTGGGATGAGGAGGTTTTTGGGTTAGGGAGGTCTTTGGAGTGAGGAGGTCTTAGTTAGGGAGGTCTTCATTGTGAGGAGGTCTTTGGGTTAGGTAGGACTTCATACTGCAGCTGCACAGAAATTGGTTATCTTTAAGGGAAGAGGAAGTGGAGTCGCACTCACTTGTTTTGTCTCTGCTCTCTGCACTCAGATTGTGGTCGTTCTTTCCTTCCTATTTCTGTCTACCCAGGCAACACTTTCTGCCATTGTTCCTCTTCTGCAGTTCTCAGACTCTCATCGCTTCCTCCTCTGCCAGTTTTGTGTGCTGCTGCTGCAGATTACATCAAACTGTAGGCTCATTATAGATCTGCACCCTTCTTTCCTTGCTAGTATTAACTGACTGGACGTTGCCATTGGCATAATCACCTCATACCTCTGACTGAACAGTTAGTCTTTTCTACATTAAAGAAAGAGTTGATGGTTTATCTTCCAGGTGACTTTTTATGATGATCTGAACCCTCCTTGGTGTGGGACAGATCCTGGCACGGCTTTCATTGAGGTAACATTTAAGTTATTCAGTCTAAACCATTTGAGTTAGTAAACTGGTCAAAGGCACATGGCAGATGGTGCATTGTCAACACGTGCCTGTAAGATGGGCACCAGAGAATGGGGTGGGGGTGGGGATTTAGGTTAAAACCAGATGATTAACTTTCGTTGGTGTAAGGAGGCTATCCAGTCTGCAACCTGAGGTCTTTCTGAGGGGAGGAAAAGAGGTACTGTTAGGAGAATGATAGCGGGTCTCCCCGTCCCCCAACACCCCCACCAGTTGATTCTTTCGTTCTTTAACATCCCCGTCCTCCCAACTTGACCAAAGAGAGTGGTTGATGAGGAGTGACAGTAACTCAGTCACGCAACGCCAATCAAGCACAATATCCCTGTCAAGTTGGTTTAACAAACAAACACACACACACACACACACACATACACACACAGAGACACACACACACATACACACACACACACACACACACACACACATACACACACACACAGAGACACACACACAGACACGTTTTATCTTTTGTTAATTAATGTTAATTATATTATGGTAATTAATTAATTAATGTCTCAGGACATTATTACCTGCAGTGTTCCCTCAGTGAGGACTGAACTACACAAAAGGACCTTCTCCTACTCCACTCCTGTTTCCTGGAATATCTTGTAAAAAGATCTGAAGCTCTCGACCTTGACCTCTCTAAGGTTGTTTTCACACCTGATAGTCCGGTAGACTCGGTTCGGTTGGGGACCAATATTCATGACCTTTTGTTACATTTGAGTTGGTGCATTTGCATTCACACTGCACTGTGCAGTCGAGCCAACCTGTTGAACCAACCTATTCCCCCGCTCGCCTGTGGGGGCGCTGCACCAAGAACTACTGAAAGAAACGACACAAAAACCTCTGAAGACACTTCTTCTTCTTCTTCTGGAAATCAAAACAAAAACGGAGTGGCATCAAGTTTTAGCAGTTTTAGTCATTTTTCAACAATGGACTCAGCATGAACAGAAGATGAGACAGAAGACCATGGAGAATATTGTTTTCCACACAAGGCAGCTGACGGCTCCGTATGAGGTCAGAGAAATGCGTGTTTGTCCTGCGCTGTCCTCCACTTCCTGCTTGTGGAGCGGGGCTCGGTCTGTTTAATTTCACACTGTACTCAAACCGCGCTGGAGTTCTCTTCTACCGGACCCAGACCTAGGTTTTAGCCCGGGCCAGAGTTCACCATTTTGTTCCATGACAGAGTTCAATGGCGCGTTCACACCTCCCCAAACAAACTGGACTTCCTAGGAAAACAAGCCAGAGTTCGATTAAAGCGACTAAACAGGGCTGGTGTGAATGCACCCTAAGTGGCTTCAAACATCTGATAAGTTCCTGCAAGAATCAACACAGACATGTTCCTGTTTTTAGTTTTCTACACCGCTTTACAACCTAGCTGTTTTATTTGTTTCATTTTTCAATGCCATTTTTTTACTTGTGCTTCTCAATTTGTATTTTTATGATTGTCCACTGTTGTCATTATTCTTTGTTAAAACCAGGTTTCTGTTGTAAATGAGACCACAAGGCTCAATGGGACTAACCTGTAGAAATAAAGTTGAATGAATGAAATATTCTAGCCGTTAGCTGGAAACTCATCAACCTCTGTGTGTGTGTGTGTGTGTATGTGTGTGTGTGTGTGTGTGTGTCTGTGTGTGCCTCTGTTTGTCTGTGTGTGTATGATCATATTTGGCCACCCTTTCTACTGTAGGTTCTAAACCAGGGGTGCCCAAAGTGGGGCCCGCGGGCCAAAGTTGGCCCACGAAGCTGTCCTCGTTTCTATATAAAAATTTCCTTTGATGTTTCAATGTGTTTACACTCAGTCATTCTGACTTTAATGTTAATGTTAAATGAAAAGTCAGCCCATGGCTACCTTACTGACACTACACAGCTATTTTTGTGCATTAACATATTTAATTGTACTAATTCAAAGTGATTTTGACATACTTCCTACAGCTTCCTGCCACTGATAAACATTTTCCTTTGGTCCTGCACTAATACACTTATAAATCACACATGACGTGTTTAAAAATAACCTAAATTAAAGCTGCAAGCAGCGTTGAAGGCCCTCGCAGCGAAGCGCCGCTGCGGCCTTACGGCGACCACGGGAACTCCAGCAACTCTTCCCGGTTGCCATCGAGAACGCTCACCTGACTACCGTCACGCGCCCGTTTTCTGGAGTGCGCATTCGCCGAACCTTTGACATAAGCTGCAATCGCATATATAACTATTGTAATAATGTAAGGGGCGCACTTGAGTCAAATATTAAACAATAATACCACTGTGTCCATAAGTGCTCATTAGTCAAGCACCAAAAATCTGGTGCAGATCGGACGATATATCACTGAGATATAACAGTTTGAATTATCTAGGGAGCGCACTTGAGTCAAAAGTAAAACAACAATACCATTGTGTGTTTAAGTGCTCACTAATCACACACCACAAATCTGGTCCAGATCAAACAAATTTTCACTGAGATATAACAGTTTGAATAATGTAGGGGGCACACTTGAGTCAAATATTAAACAACAACATCACTGTGTCCAAAAGTGTGCACTTATCAAGCACCAAAAATCTGGTACAGATCGGATGACATATCACTGAGATATAACAGTTTGAATAATGTAGGGGCGCACTTGAGTCAAATATTAAACAAGAATAACAATGTGTCTAGACATGGTCACACATTATGCCACAAAAATCTGGTGCAGATTGGATGATATATCATTGAGATAAATATTATAGAGGGCGCTCTAGAGTCAAAAGTTAAAAAACATTACTAATGTGTCCATCAGGGCTACATAATAATACACCAAAAATCTGGTGCAGATCGAATGATATTTCATTGAGATATAACTGTTGCAATATTGTAGGGGGCGCACTAGAGTCAAAAGTTAAAAAACACTACTAATGTGTCCATAACTGCTTACTAATGATGCAGCAAAAATCTGGTGCAGACCGGCTGATATATAACTGAGATATAACTGAT